AGACATATTCTAATTATCAAAGTACATGAAAAGTAATGTACTGTAGCTGTTTCCTTGATAATTTATTTTATGTTTATTGATTGCAAATGTGCTAAATATTTCTGATTCTCATATCAAATGCTTGCAATAAAGTCTTTGGAAAAGATTTTAAACATTCATACACAAGCTAACTAGTTTTTATCTAGCATAGCATCATGTTGTCTTGGCATCTGTCATCTCTAAAAGGAGAACCCATACCTCTTTCCAAGAACTTCGTGTTTTGAGTGCTTTTACATGAAAATCTTAACTCTGGACCTACTCAGTGCACCAATAATTCTTTTCCCAATGACAAGCTTGGAATGCCAGCTTACTGGATTTTCTGGCATCCAATAAGCTGACATGTCAAGCTTGTCATTGGGGACATGTCAATGGGACTTCACTATTGTTAGTTGGAGGTTTGCACCTAACAACACTTAATAGAGACTGTTTTCCACACAGAAAGTCTTGCCACAGAATGTCCTTTGGTAGCTCAGTTTTGTTTTATTGCCTTATGTAATTAATCTAATCCAGATCCTCCAAAAATTATATGGGTGATTTGTCCTATACATGTTGGTTTTCACCTAGCCAGCCCCATCATTGCCTTGATTTTTATAGGTATAATGATGGCCCTTTTGGTGCCTGCAAAGTGGAAAAAGTTTTAAAAAAGTTTAAAAAAATTGTTTGATGTGTGTAACAGAATACTGTACAGTCAAACATCGGGTTAAAAACTTAATTTGTTCCTAATGTAAAATGGATTAATCTGTTCCTGAACCTCCAAAACAAAGCCTTAATTTTTTTATCCTTTTAGCTATATTTTATGCATAAAAATGCCTACACAAATATAATATTATCTATATATATAAAAAAAGACATTATATATATATATATATATATATATATTTATATTTATACGTGATTATATATTAAGTTTATAAATGATTACAGTAAAACCTGTCTGAAACGGAATCCGGATAAAAACCTGCGTAAACGTAAATTCCGTGCGTTAAAAATCTGTTTAAATGGGAACTTACCAAATAAATGTCCGTACTATTCCGGTTTACACAGGTTTTGTTTTTAAATGGTTTCTTAACGCTGGTTCGTGGCTGGCTTAATGCAGTTTTCTGGATTTACTCCACGTATATAATGCCAATTTCTCTCTCTGGTATACAGGAATGTGAGCGATCGTGAAATGCTCACGTTCCTGTGACGTTACGTTTGATGGTTTGATTGCTCACGTTCCTGTNGCAGCGGCAAAGCACTGGCGAAAATTTAAATTTGCCAACTGGAATTCTTTCGGATAATCGACGCTCTACTGTGTGTGTGTGTATATGTATAATATATATGTCTTTTTTTTTTTTTTTTTTTGGAAAGACGGTCTTGTTTATAAAATAGTACTGTCTGCTGTGTTACCAGCTTAGATATATGAAGGAGTACATGTCAGGAGTTGATATTTGGCACAGAGTATTTGGTGCCCAAATCATGTGCACATAAATAAAACCAGACTTATAGGTACACAGGACCGAGAACCGCGTCCAAATAAAATACAAAATGGCAATCTCTCTACAAACAGGCAGTAGTGCGAGATTTGTGCATGTATTGCTGGTTGGGAAGTTGGACATACGAATGTTGCAAAATAGAATTTTGACAAACCCATTTACCTGTCCTGTGTTATTCCCTACATATCTCTGGTCGCCATGTGCTGACCTTGATTGGTTGAGCTGAGATATCTCGTTTCGGAATCGGAACGTTTTTCAAAGTAGATGGCGCTACTCGTTATAATTTTATATTAAAACTACTTTCCGAAATATAATTTTTTTATATTTTTACATTTATTAATATATATATATATAGTTTGTTTGTGCAAAATAAAAAAAAATTTCAGACAATACAATAGCCACGATTATTTTTTCAAAAACGGGAAATTTTCATTAGGCATAGACAAAAATTCAACCTGGGGCGACACACAATGGAGAGAAATTTCGAAATTGGATAGGTTAATTTCACTGAAAATGCATTGTGGACGACCTCATGGTCGTGGCTGTGGCCGAGGCCGGCGAAGTTTGAACGATTGCACTCAAAACCAGTGATACTAAAGAAGATTGGAGAATGAGAACGAGACCCACCTTGAGTGTCGAAGTGATCCTGCTTAGTAGTGAGTCTTTGAGACATAGTCTTCTCCCAAATACGGCTTTGATGTTTTACTTGTATATATATACAGTGGATTCTTGATCTATTGTTTTTGTATCAATGATTTTCCTGCATCTTCTGTTCTCCAATGTTCATCAATGTTTTCTCCAGTCCCAAATAAGGACCCATATATAATGTTAATTTTTCCTGTATTCTTTGTTCCCACATTGACTGTTTTCCTGCAATGTTCGTTTTATATTTTAATTGAAAGAAAAATATTATCCCACAACAATAGTTTTACTCACAATAGAGATGCTAAGTTGAAACGCTGATTTTTATGTACTAAAAATAAAAGCACATCAAATTTAACAGTTAAACCCTTTGACTACAGCTAACCAGTTTTTATTGTGATTTTTGGCTATATTTTGTCTACTGTTTTACAAAATGCTGTACTTTATTGATGACATTTCCTCTTAAAGCTTGATAACACTGGTAAAAATTAGCACATTGTCTCAGGGTTGCCATCTGTACGATAATTATTGTATTTGTATGATTATTTTGGGTGTTGTATGATGTACAATAATTTCATAAATATGCTTTACTCCGGAAACAACTGTTAATTATTGAAAAAAAAATTTTTACAATCATTATTTTTATATGTATCTTTTTTTTGTTGATATTTCATGTTTTTTTTCTTCCTGGAGAGCTGCTAAATTTTTGGAAGTTTTTAGATTGGCTATTAATGTATATTTTTGATTATAAGGCAAACCTTTGTCATATTTTTTTGAGATCGTTAGCTGTTATACTTTTAGACTTACTGATAAAATGCTCAAATTGACTGAAAATTTGTGCAAATAAATGTTCTGTTGAAATGCCATTATGCTTCTACTTGTACAAAATATAATAAAATGTATTAATGTAGTACCTATAAAGTACTTTCCATCTAGTGAATTGTCTAGAACTGTAACTTTATTGGCACAGAGAGTTGTGATCACTCAAGGACTGGACTAAAAATTTTAGACGGTTGCAAAAATTTGGAAAAACTACAGCTTATGCATATGAAATAAGTGTGGTATATAAAGGATGTGTTACATATTTGTTGTTAATAATTTGTTGATGTTTGGTATGTTGAAATTGTATGAAAAAACATAAATTTTAGCTTATGCCCATTCAGAGGTTTATGCATCATATATTTTAAGGGAGAAAACTTTGTTGTAAAATTGGGTCTAAGAAGTTTTTGTTTTAAGAAGGGATCACAGATAAAAAGTTTACAATATTCTGACATAGGGTGAATCTTGTTACTATTTCTACGGATAAAGGGCATAAGTATAAAGGATTGAGATAGATGTACAATAATTTTAAATGAAATACGATAATTTCAAGGGGCAGATACAATGATTTTCTCCTGTAAGGTTGGCAATCCTGCATTGTCTTGAAGTAGGGGAGATCATGTCTGGACAAGTGAGAAAAGTCAGAACCCTTTTCCATAAGAGAATCAACACATTGTAAGTGACCAAAATTTATAATTTCACTAACATTTTTGACACTTCTAAGGTATCATCAATGACTATTCAAACAATTTTGAGTCAATTTAAATCTTTTATCCTTTTTAAATTCCAGCCAGAGACAGATGATAAACAACTTGAATATAAAATACAATTCTTCATTAAAATGTTTGTTTGTTTGCTAATTTATGGCAACGCAATACTTGGGTGATCTGCCTAGGGAGATGCCTTTCGGGAGGTCTTTTTATAGGAAACTGGCCCCTATTTAGGCGTTACAGACTTGTAGAAAACCCAGAAAACTCCATGTGGCCAGCCCGTCTGAGCGAAGCCAAACCCACGACCAAACTCCCAGTGTTCAGGGTATGAAGACTGCTTGGCTACTGGTGGGCTTCATTAAAATGACTGATGATATATTGTAGAAACTTTTATTGCTGCATGTAGTTGGTGCTGGATCCTACAGTAAAAGGTCGGTGTATTAGTATATGTTTTTAATGTCATATTGCCACTCATTTTATTGAAGAATTGTATTTTATCTTCAAGTTGTTTACCATCTGTCTGTGGCTGGAATTTAAAAAGGATAAAAGATTTAATTTGATCTAAAATTGTTTTTATAGTCATCATTATATAAATATGTGAATAATCCTTGGGACTATATGGTTTAGGTAATTTATTTGTTGTTTACTTTTATAATCTGTGTTAAACTTTTAACAGGATTCAATAAGTACAATACTCTAATTAATGTTCTGTATGCCAATTTTTTCATAACCTCACTTGGACAACCATCTTACTTATGTGGCCAGAAGTTGTATACCTCATAGATGGATACATAAATGGAGTTTTACTACAATTTCTTATTCTGCTTATTATATAAGTTTAGAAAAGACACTTATTTGAATGAAATGTTTAATTTACATTAGAAAATGAGATTACTAATTAGAAATTTACAATTTGCCAATTACTTCTTAATGAGAAAATTATTTTCTTACTTTTAAGTAATTTGTAATCACTTGTAGTGATTATTTAATAATGACTTTTATTAAGTAATGACTACTTTGTTGAAAAATGTTTCTATTCAATCAATATATTACAATTTTACCATATTAGATTAATCCTTTTCTCTCAAAAGATAGTGTAATTCATAAAATAACTGCTTTAGTAGATTACTCCATCAACTACATACAACCTTGTACAGCAGGAAACATTAGTTTAATAAATATTTTTGTACTGTACAAGGTTGTATGTTGTTGATGGAGTGATCTAAAGATAATCTTAATTTCAAATATTTTAATAAATTTCAGATTTTTTTTTAAAAATTAAAATTAAATATTTTTTCAATTTATTTTATTACAGAAAAAGTGTTGGATTTATCAGAGAAAAATTTAAAGAAGTTGGAAAAACGAGATGGTGTCGGTTTTCACAGCCTTATTCTAGATAATAACGAACTTTGTAAATTAGAAAATTTAGATCGATTTCCCGATTTGGAAAAGGTGAAATGATTTATTTTTATTTGTATTTTATGGAAATTTTCAAAGAAGTTTTTTTAATACTTATATAAGGGGTGATCAAAAAGTTTCTGTTTAAGGACGTGGCTGCAGCATATGTGCAAATTAGCACATCACTGATGTGGGGTATATAAGCACCGACAGCAAGGTGTGGGATTATTGTGTGGAAAACGCCTTACAGTCCTGATCTCTCCCCGTGTGATTTTTACGCCTTCGGTCCCTTAAGTCCTTAAAAGGTTGACGGTTCTGGTCGGATGTAGAAGTGCAGCAGGCAGTTTTGGACTTCTTCAAGCAGCAGAAACAGGAGTTTTACTAACGAGGTATATTCAGCCTGGTGAAGCAGTGGGATGCTTGCCTAAATGAACACAGTGCTTTCGCATGACTGGCATACCAAATCTGGACTGTACAGCCTTTGAATGGAAACGTTTTGATCGTGCCTTATATTTCTTGAATATAGATTAAATATTTCAAATCAAGTGATTTGAAAGATATAATTTAATTTAATTATTCCTGAGATCAATGACAGCTGTAAAATGGAGTAGAAAGTATTAATTTTTTACATACAGTATACAGGATATTCACTTTAACATTTATCCTGTTGCAAGAGAGATCTTTCCAGCATTTCACAAGTACAATACATGCATATGATAATATTAGTTCCATAATAAAATAAATTAATTTATTCAAAAATAAAAAGAATTGTATTTTAATTCAAAATAAGAATTGTAATTTATTCAAAAATAAAAAGAATGAAATGTTCTTACATTTGAAAGATGTAAGAACAAGGTGTAAATTAAAAATACAATCTTTACAAATTGTGATGACATATGTCTGTGTCTGCATAGAAGAACAAACATCTTGCATTCTGTTAATTGGCAGAGTGCTACAACAAATTTATGGTTTTTTTTGATATTTTCATAATTTATTTGATATATATACGGTCAAACTTCTATATAACAAAGTGGCTAAATCCTGAAAAAATTTTGCTATAGGGAAATTTTGTTATACAGGGTGTATCAGAATGATGTTTTAAAAATTTGGGGATTGTAGAGGATGAAATTTTGAACGTTTTGATATGAGGAACCTATAACCAGAAATTTGAACTAAAGTGTCTACAGCAGTAGGAAGTGCTTGACCGCTCTTCCCTTTGGTAGCTACCTTTCTGTCCAATGATGTCATATTATTGCTGCAGATGGAAGACTGTAAACACACAATTACAGTGGTCTAACTGAGCCTGTGTACAGGACGTTGTGTACTTAGTGCTTGTCGTCTTCAGGTCACCCCTTGTATTCACTGGCGCTGTGCTGTAAACACACAACTAGTCAACATGAGTCCTTTGTGTATGCAACACCTGTAGGAACAGTTCATGAGCTTATGGAGTGCATCTTTACAGCATTTAATACCATCAGAGGAGAGAGTGGCATCTTACAGAGGGTCGGACAAAACATGGTTTGTCGTTGCACATTATGAAATGAAGTTGGTGGTTGTCACATTGAACATTTACTCTAAAGTAGTGCAGCCACTGATTCGATGTACAGTTTGATTGTACTCTACTGTTTTGTCAATAAAACTTGTCATAAATACTGCATTCTGCTGTTTCATTCAGCATACCGACCGCTTAGAACATGCAAAGTGCTGTAGAAACTTTATATCACATTTCTGGCTTTGGGTTCCTTATATCAAAACGTTCAAAATTTCATCTTCTACAATCTCCCAAATTTTTAAAACAACATTCTGATACACCTATAGAAATTACACATTTTGGTAAATAAAGTATAATTTTAATATAATTTGTTTGTTATTTTGTGTCAGTGTTTTTCAACCTGTGGGTTGCGACCCCAAGGGTGGTTGCAAAGCCTTACACAGGAAGTCACGGGTGAAAGAAAAAGACAAGTGTTTGTAGGTCATACACTACAATAATAAAACTAGAATTTCAGTGAGAAGGCTGTGCCTGTTTATTTTATAGTACAATTGGGTTTTTGATCAATATTTAAGGAAAGAAAATTAAATACGTAGTTTTTAAAATCTCTGATATAATTTTAATATGGCTCTGGGGGGTCGCCAGAAGTTTTTAACTTGTATAGGGGTCACATATTCAAGAAGGTTGAAAAAAACTGTTTTATGTAATTTAAATTAATATAAATATAATATACAGTAATGTGACTGCAGGGTCGGCACCTCTTTCATGCCTTGTCAGGATTGACATCACCATGTCTTCTGGACACGGAAATTTCGATGGCTGTTATGTTAGTTTTCGTGTGAGCAGTTGCGTCGTAGGCTTTTGGACTTGGAATGGAGGCGGAAGGAGACAACTGGAAGAAGTACACTCTACAAAGTTATCGTTTAACAAAATACCTGTTTATTAATCAATACCATCTATTTAAAAGCTATATACAGATACTTAGTGGATGCTAATAATATTAATATGATATATATATAGGAACCTTATTATTACGATCACGACTCTGACTGTGAGAGAGAGAGCTTACAATCATTTGCGTGTTGATAAATACTAAGAATAAAACACATCTTTAAAAATCCAGCAAATGACTATTAATAAAATAAAAACGTTTTGTTTAAATTATTTGTGTTTATTTATTTTATCGACCACAACTACGTTTTCTGTTATTTATATTTTCATATTTAAGTTTTATTTTTATGTTAACTGAGGAAGATCGTTAAAGTTTTTTAATGATCTTCCTCTCTCATTCATACTTTTATGATCAATCAACACCTAATTGTTTTGTATGCCAGATACGTCGACGATATATTCATTCTACGGCAAAAAAAACCTGACCTACAGCAATTTTTGAAGACGATCAATAATAACCCTTATGGTTTATTACTACAAGTAGACCATCAGAGTGAAAATAATGTAAATATTTTGGATATTTTCCATCACTTGTAGACGGGGAGAAATCTGGACCAGCATATACAGAAAACCATATTTCCAATTAACTTTAATTCCACATAAATCGATTGATCCGCATCGTATCAAGTTAGTGGTCTTTAGGTCCTGGATAAGAAGAGCTTATATGCATTGTTTAAACATAAAAGACACAATAATGGAGCTGAATTACATTTTAAGGATTGCTGAACAACAAGGATACTGAAGAAAAGTCATAGAGAAACTAATCGCAACCTTCCAAACAACAAAACAACGGCATGCTACGATAGACCAAAAACAAAGGATAGTTTTAAATTATATTCCATTTTTAAGGCAAATTTATAAAAAGGCGGCCAAGACTAATAATTTACAAGTGGTATATTGATGCAATCCTACAGTCTTCAAGCTCTTAAGAAACGATATGACTGGAAATCAGCCACAGGAATCTGCTCTATACCGTTACGCGATCAGTGTTTTGATTCTGATCTTGTATATGTGGACACTATGATGCACTACTTGCAGCAATGTCTCAAGGAATATAAATATACGATTAATAAGAACTGGATAACACCATGCTATCAGCTTACGCAAGACGACAAGACATTCAAGTCCATCGGGATCAAGCAGCAATAATTAAACCAACAACACATTTACACACTATGAAATATCTTGAAAAGTTGGAGATCTTTAAAGCACACAAGAGAACAGGCTGCATTAACCATAGGGATGTGGTCGCATTAGCTACCGCATGGCTGTCCTTTTACGAAAATTAATGTTATTAAGAGACATTTTTATTTTAGTTTTATTTTATTTTTATTAAGTGATATTTTCAACTTAATTTATATTATTATGTGTTTGTTTATTTTATTGACCACAACTACATTTTCCGTTATTTATATTTTCATATTTACGTTCTAATTTGTTGTTCTGTTTTTATGTTAACTGAGGAAGATCGTTAAAAAACAGTTGAAAATGTTTTTATTTTATTAATATTTATTTGCTGGATTTTTAAAGGTGTTTTATTCTTAGTTTGTTATCCAGTACGTACATTAAATTTAAGTTGATAAATATCTTAAGAATTCAAAGAAACTGAAGATCTGTTTGGAACTTTCAGGAAGTAGGAAAGTTGCTTTCTTCTGGAGTGGTGACGATTTCTCTTGAGCAGTGACGGATTCTCAAGTGGTGACAGCTAAGATCAGTGATGGCAATGGCGAGCGGCTGGACACACACAGTTCAAGAAAAACTGGATGATGGCTTTTGACTCATTGATCCCTCCTTTTTACTAGGGGGCAGGTCCTGGGTTTTTCCCATGACCTTATTAGGAGTTTTTCTACAACTGTCCAATAGTTGATTTTTATTGTAGATTCCGGGTGACACATTAGGAAGCTGTGTCATCTTTGAAAGGAACTGAATCTGGAGAAAGATACGAACTCATCCTTCCAGGTTTTTATTAAGTGTTGGGGGGAAAAAAAATAGAATTTTTTCCATGAGTTTAAACATTATTTTGTTTAATTTTAAAGTGAGCATGAAAGTTTATAAAAGGGTTTATAAAAGTTTATCAAATTCGGGCACTCACAGTAATAATGTAATATGAATAAAGTTTTAATTTTAAGTAAGTTTACATTTGTGTGTTAAAATACTTAAAAGTTAGGTTTAGCTACATTTTTATTAAAAAAATTATAATTTTTTGTTTCACAGAACAATTAAAAAAATGTTCTCTCTTCATAATATGCTTCACACTTATTAAGAGCATTAAAACTATTTCATCTACATTGGCATAAATGCAGGTTCTAGCACATTTTCATGTAGGTCTCTCATCATTGGCTAATTTCAAAATTGATTTACAATTTGTTGTTATGGTTGATAAACTATATACAGGAATTCCAAACTTTGTTACAATGTTTCTATTTTTTTGAGCCCTTATCAATTTCCTGAAACACCATAAATTTTTTAGAAATGCTTAAACACTATGTGAACAGTTTTTCAAATTCCAACTGGATGACTTATTAAAAAAAATAAAATCTCACTAACCTCAAAATTAGTCCAGAAATCGTCAAAATTATCACCTTTCTAATGTTTTTGACATTTGTTAATTATAAATCGTTAATCTGTCAACAATGGCATTTGGATCTAATCTCTCTTCCTCTTTTTTACAGTCGGTAGCCATGTGGGGAGCAGATTACATGTTGGTTTTAAAAGCTAACGACCAATATTTCTCACTCCTGGGCCATGGTTTTATGAAAGATTTATGGATTGATATCTGAAATTGAATTTAAATTGGAACTCAACTCAGATGGAGTAATTGACTTTTAATGATTGATGGTCCTTATAACTTAAAAAAAATTCGTATATAGAAATTTAACTTTGTTATTTAGAAACAATTTCACATAAATTTTTTGTTGAAAGAGCAGTGTACAATGCAAAAATTCATGATATGGGAAAATTTGCTATATAGAAGTTTGGCATAAAAAACTGACTCAGAAACTGGAACTAAATATCGAAACTACTACTTCACACCTAAGTGCTAATTCCAGCACATGAACGATAAAAAACTTTAATGTTCTAACGTTTTCGGCCGTGTTTCAGAGGCCCTCGTCAGGAAAATATTACAACGAACAGAAAAACAGTTTTATCTAACAATTTTCGAACAAAGCTGTGTTCTAATTTTTTTAACATTTAAACGATTTTTGAATATCAAAATCGTTCCGTATTACAACGTATAAATAAAATAATTATAAATAAAAATACCAATAAATATATTAAAAATACATAAAAATAACAGGTGTTAATATACAAAAATAAATAATATATACGGTGGTGGTAATACATTCATTGTTAAACGATAGCCCGAAGTACAAACGATGTGCGATATGGAAAAATTGTTTCCTTAAAAAACTCAAATTTATGTTTTGTGGCTTTGTAAATAATATTTCCACGACTGTGGAACAGGGATATTGTCGGTGTTGATGCAATTTCCCTTCATTTCCGCTTTATAAATTTCAATCGCCTCCAACGAACGTAATTCGTGTCGGTCAAATGCCCTGTGTAAAAGCGTAGCTTCATTCCAACAAGGAGAAACCCCAGGTTCGGTAGCATACTGGGCTAGTGCGGTATTATATCCGAGGACAGGAAAGCGCCAGGAGTGTACCGCATTCCATTGCAAGACAGTCGCTTCAATAGATGTATAACGTACATCGGGTCCACGTATCGGTCTCTAGAGGCTAGGGTAAGAGACCACATGTATGATGTATCCAAGGGGAGATATAATACTGCTCTAGCCCAGTATGCTACCGAACCCGGGGTTTCTCCTTGTTGGAATGAAGCTACGCTTTTACACAGGGCATTTGACCGACACGAATTACGTTCGTTGGAGGCTATTGAAATTTATAAAGCGGAAATGAAGGGAAATTGCATCAACACCGACAATATCCCTGTTCCACAGTCGTGGAAATATTATTTACAAAGCCACAAAACATAAATTTGAGTTTTTTAAGGAAACAATTTTTCCATATCGCACATCGTTTGTACTTCGGGCTATCGTTTAACAATGAATGTATTACCACCACCGTATATATTATTTATTTTTGTATATTAACACCTGTTATTTTTATGTATTTTTAATATATTTATTGGTATTTTTATTTATAATTATTTTATTTATACGTTGTAATACGGAACGATTTTGATATTCAAAAATCGTTTAAATGTTAAAAAAAATTAGAACACAGCTTTGTTCGAAAATTGTTAGATAAAACTGTTTTTCTGTTCGTTGTAATATTTTCCTGACGAGGGCCTCTGAAACACGGCCGAAAACGTTAGAACATTAAAGTTTTTTATCGTTCATGTGCTGGAATTAGCACTTAGGTGTGAAGTAGTAGTTTCGATATAGAAGTTTGCAATATGGAAGTTTGACTGTGTGTATGTATATATATTGAAATTAAATTTTAATTTAAATCAAGATCATAAAATTTAATTGAACTAAACAAAATGTAATTTAAGTTTATAAAAGTCTGAAATTATTTATTGAAGTAGAATCTTAATTTCTTACCAAGCAGAGTAATAAGTGATTTTTCTCAGGTTTTGTTTTTTTAATTTAATAATATATAAGTTTAAATCAGTACAATATAAGTTTTGTGTTTGTTAATTTAATATAAGCTTTAGGTGCTTTATGCTCTTTATTATAATTTAAAGATACTAATTGTTTGACAAATGCTAAAAACTATAACAATATTGTAGGAGCACAGCATTTATCTACTACTGGCCTCAAGCTTCTTTCAGATTTATGTGTTTTAGCAAAACCTTTCTCTACGACAACTTTAGCTAAGCAACTAGGTATGATGAGAATAATAGTTTCATCCCCAGCCATGCCAAGGCTATTCGGATTTGCTAAAACACATAAATCTGAAAGAAGATTGAGGCCAGTAGTAAAAACTATAACATACTTTTTGAATCATCAGATGTTAATGCATCCAATTAATTAATATTTTAAACAAATAGACATTTGATTTCATTACTTTTAATGTTGCAGAATTATGCAATGTATCAAACTATCAATTAAATTTTAGTTCAAAAATTTTCAGCTATCAGCATGTGGGAATCGTCTTTCGAGAATGTATGGAGTTGCAAAACTGCATCACCTTGTCCATCTTGATCTGTCAAATAACAATATTGCATGGATAGAAGGTAAATAATTATAAAGATTATATTTTAAATAGCTGTTTGTTTAGACATAAAGCCATAAAGACATAAATGTTACCATATAAATAAAATATATTTTAAATTCTTAAAAATATGTCCTTTCAAGATTCAGAAAATTTTGTCATCTTCACTTTAAAACATAATGATAATTCAGTACAAGAACTTTTTTGATAGACTTTACTGCCATAATAAATAAATTCCTTTTAAGGGATGGACTGGTGAAGAAACACTTTTTCATGATGTCTTTGACCTGTTTCTGAACTACTATAATATTAAATTTATGTATTATTAATTTTTGCATATAAATATTTCTATATAGTTATATAGTAAAATTTCAATTTAATGGTTTTCAAGGAACTGGTGAAAAAATATTCTAAATCACAGAATATCTAAAATTTGAACATCCTTAAAACATGCCACAATGTATAAATACATGTGTATATGCATTCAGAATGGATAAAATGAAGAAAAACACATATATTACTAGTATAAATGCTTCCATGAAGTCCTTTATTTTATCCAATATAATGTACAGTACAATGATCAACACCTTCTAGACATGTTTTACACAAGCATAATAAACTGTTAAGCTGTTTTTTGAAAGTAGTCAAGGATACTTATTTGTTTCCTGTTGAGTTTTTGGCATATCTTCTTCACTGCAGTTTTTAAGTTTGAAATATAAAGATACAAATAGTATTCTTTTCAATATCATCACCACTATTGTGCATTGTGCTTCTTTATGCATTATACTTGTTCCATAGTGTATTGGTTTGTAGCTGCATGGGAATACTGTGTCTGGACTGCAGAATCCATAGTGAACTTCAGACTGTCGTGGTATTGGCAAGTTGTATTTACATTAAAGTTAAAAAAAATAAAATGGTAATAATTTTATTTTTAGTTTCAATTAGCAGAATGGAAGAAAGTAGCATTGTTCTATTTAAAGAAGATGAAAACATACATTATACAATCAAGTTAAAGTTATTGTTTTAAACATGTACAGTACAGGTCTGAAAAGTTTTGCAGTGAGAAATTTGTAATGACATTAAAGTTATTTGTGTGGCATTGCATACAAGACTGATAAGTTGTACGTCTTGCATTTTCACTTTACAGTAGATTGCATTAGTGCTTGCTCACAGATGTTCTGGGTTTTAGATTACAGTTTTTGGAAGATTTCTTTTCTGATCACATATAAATTCCTGTGGAATCTGGCTTGCTAGGCATTTGGATCTCACTCCCTAGATTTTGGGATCTCTGGGGAACATTTCCAACATCTGCTATAGGAGTAACTGCATCATATACAAAACTTCACTTTTAATAAAACTTTACTTAAACCTTTTCCACTGCACAGTAACTTTTTGGATACCCTGTACAACTATTTTAGACATCAAAATTTACTTTACAGTGACAAAAAGCATAAGAATTTAGTTTATTAACACCACAATTATTGATCCATGTGTCTTACTCATCAATGATACTGACTAACTGCTCATCAAAATAGATCTTGAAAAGTCTATTTTTTGTTGACAGACCGTACATGCACTATTCAAAAGTGAAATTGCAACAACATGAAGGAATGTGCTTAGCCAAATGCAAATTGCTTGACTGGTAGAGGTGATAGAATAAGCAAATGATTAGGTTTGTGTATGCATCAGGTTGTGGTACTCAGTTTCGCTATAAAGACCAGCAGCTGGCTCGGGCTGTAAATGCTATCAACAGTGGTTCATGACAGCCAAACTTTTGAAGAAGTGCAGAAAATTCTTTGGAGACTAGGGAATGAGACAATATCCTGGAGCTGTGCAACCTCAGTTTGTCTATGCATGCAGTTGTCACACATGTTGGGCATGATGTGAGTACCATCCAGCAATGTGGGACACGCTGGACACAGAAACATCTATGAACATATCAAAGAGGAAGTGGATTGAACCAGCACATGACAGCGCAAGCAGACTGGTAGATTCGCTGAATGGCCTGTTGTCACGTCATGACAAACAGGTTTCATCTGAATCTGTCTGTCGCTATCAACAGGTGCACCTGTGTTCACTCAAACCATTTGCAATAGGTTGCATGATGTTGGGCTGCAAGCACAGCAACCAGCAACCAGGGTGCCATTAACCTCCCAACATAGGGCTGCATGCCAAGCATGCAGCCCTGTGTTGGGAGGTTAATGGCACCCTGTGCAGGGCTGCATGCTTGGCATGGTGTCATCATTGCAACTGGACCACTGAATGGCATCAGATATTGTTTATGGATGAATCTCACCTTTGTCTTTGGAGGAATTATGGTTATGGATGGGTGTGGCAGTATCCCGAGGAATGCTACGTGGCAGCCCTTTTCACCGAGCATTATTCCGGTTCCACATCAGGCATCATGGTTTGGGGAGGCTTTATGTTTGATCAGCAGACAGCCCTGGTGCACATCTCTAGTGCTCTGAAAGCAGACCAGTATGTCACACAAGTTGTGGGGTCTGTGGTTCAGCCACTGGTACAGCTGCACTCAACATGGTGTTTCAGCAAAATAATACCTGACTGCAAGTCACATGGTAAACTCTCACCATCCTGAATGAAATTCACATCCTTCCCTGGCCAACAGCCTTGCTGGCTCTCTCTTCCATTGAACACCTGTGGGACTTCATCCAATCTGAGATGCACCAAGGACCACCACCATATATTATAGATGACATGCACACTGCAGTGAATACAGCTTGGCAAGACATGCGTCAGGCAATCATTAGTTGCCCATGGGGGCCATATTTGTTACTGAATAAACAGGTGTTTGTTGCATATCTCTGTTAACTCTACTGGGGACCTATTCTGAGTAGTATCATTAAGCTAATGAATACGATAAAAACCAGTTTCTATCAGAACCACGTGATTTGCATTTAATCAACTGTGAAAATGCTATTCTGATCTGTACATTTTGTTTTTGGTTCCAATAGCCACACGCGATAACTAAGCTTTTGTTATTGATCACTCTCGAGCTGCCGTTAGGAACGTAACAAAAGTGAAAACAACATGGTGTCTTTTGGTGTGTAAGAACGATTTTACTTCACGAGCAATTGGAGAGAGAGTTAATAAACTTTGTTGTTGTATTGCTTAAAAATAATAACTTTAACTATTTATGAATAGTATAATCGCTTTCTTGTTAAAATTTAAAGTAAGTAGCTATAGCATGAACATTATTTCTGAAATAGGTTTCATTCACATATGTATAAATTAAAATGATATTTATATATTTATATTCAAAGCTATCAGTTACTTTTTGCCATCTTTCTGGATCATTTTGTGAGCAGACTTCTNATAATATTAGTTCCATAATAAAATAAATTAATTTATTCAAAAATAAAAAGAATTGTATTTTAATTCAAAATAAGAATTGTAATTTATTCAAAAATAAAAAGAATGAAATGTTCTTACATTTGAAAGATGTAAGAACAAGGTGTAAATTAAAAATACAATCTTTACAAATTGTGATGACATATGTCTGTGTCTGCATAGAAGAACAAACATCTTGCATTCTGTTAATTGGCAGAGTGCTACAACAAATTTATGGTTTTTTTTGATATTTTCATAATTTATTTGATATATATACGGTCAAACTTCTATATAACAAAGTGGCTAAATCCTGAAAAAATTTTGCTATAGGGAAATTTTGTTATACAGGGTGTATCAGAATGATGTTTTAAAAATTTGGGGATTGTAGAGGATGAAATTTTGAACGTTTTGATATGAGGAACCTATAACCAGAAATTTGAACTAAAGTGTCTACAGCAGTAGGAAGTGCTTGACCGCTCTTCCCTTTGGTAGCTACCTTTCTGTCCAATGATGTCATATTATTGCTGCAGATGGAAGACTGTAAACACACAATTACAGTGGTCTAACTGAGCCTGTGTACAGGACGTTGTGTACTTAGTGCTTGTCGTCTTCAGGTCACCCCTTGTATTCACTGGCGCTGTGCTGTAAACACACAACTAGTCAACATGAGTCCTTTGTGTATGCAACACCTGTAGGAACAGTTCATGAGCTTATGGAGTGCATCTTTACAGCATTTAATACCATCAGAGGAGAGAGTGGCATCTTACAGAGGGTCGGACAAAACATGGTTTGTCGTTGCACATTATGAAATGAAGTTGGTGGTTGTCACATTGAACATTTACTCTAAAGTAGTGCAGCCACTGATTCGATGTACAGTTTGATTGTACTCTACTGTTTTGTCAATAAAACTTGTCATAAATACTGCATTCTGCTGTTTCATTCAGCATACCGACCGCTTAGAACATGCAAAGTGCTGTAGAAACTTTATATCACATTTCTGGCTTTGGGTTCCTTATATCAAAACGTTCAAAATTTCATCTTCTACAATCTCCCAAATTTTTAAAACAACATTCTGATACACCTATAGAAATTACACATTTTGGTAAATAAAGTATAATTTTAATATAATTTGTTTGTTATTTTGTGTCAGTGTTTTTCAACCTGTGGGTTGCGACCCCAAGGGTGGTTGCAAAGCCTTACACAGGAAGTCACGGGTGAAAGAAAAAGACAAGTGTTTGTAGGTCATACACTACAATAATAAAACTAGAATTTCAGTGAGAAGGCTGTGCCTGTTTATTTTATAGTACAATTGGGTTTTTGATCAATATTTAAGGAAAGAAAATTAAATACGTAGTTTTTAAAATCTCTGATATAATTTTAATATGGCTCTGGGGGGTCGCCAGAAGTTTTTAACTTGTATAGGGGTCACATATTCAAGAAGGTTGAAAAAAACTGTTTTATGTAATTTAAATTAATATAAATATAATATACAGTAATGTGACTGCAGGGTCGGCACCTCTTTCATGCCTTGTCAGGATTGACATCACCATGTCTTCTGGACACGGAAATTTCGATGGCTGTTATGTTAGTTTTCGTGTGAGCAGTTGCGTCGTAGGCTTTTGGACTTGGAATGGAGGCGGAAGGAGACAACTGGAAGAAGTACACTCTACAAAGTTATCGTTTAACAAAATACCTGTTTATTAATCAATACCATCTATTTAAAAGCTATATACAGATACTTAGTGGATGCTAATAATATTAATATGATATATATATAGGAACCTTATTATTACGATCACGACTCTGACTGTGAGAGAGAGAGCTTACAATCATTTGCGTGTTGATAAATACTAAGAATAAAACACATCTTTAAAAATCCAGCAAATGACTATTAATAAAATAAAAACGTTTTGTTTAAATTATTTGTGTTTATTTATTTTATCGACCACAACTACGTTTTCTGTTATTTATATTTTCATATTTAAGTTTTATTTTTATGTTAACTGAGGAAGATCGTTAAAGTTTTTTAATGATCTTCCTCTCTCATTCATACTTTTATGATCAATCAACACCTAATTGTTTTGTATGCCAGATACGTCGACGATATATTCATTCTACGGCAAAAAAAACCTGACCTACAGCAATTTTTGAAGACGATCAATAATAACCCTTATGGTTTATTACTACAAGTAGACCATCAGAGTGAAAATAATGTAAATATTTTGGATATTTTCCATCACTTGTAGACGGGGAGAAATCTGGACCAGCATATACAGAAAACCATATTTCCAATTAACTTTAATTCCACATAAATCGATTGATCCGCATCGTATCAAGTTAGTGGTCTTTAGGTCCTGGATAAGAAGAGCTTATATGCATTGTTTAAACATAAAAGACACAATAATGGAGCTGAATTACATTTTAAGGATTGCTGAACAACAAGGATACTGAAGAAAAGTCATAGAGAAACTAATCGCAACCTTCCAAACAACAAAACAACGGCATGCTACGATAGACCAAAAACAAAGGATAGTTTTAAATTATATTCCATTTTTAAGGCAAATTTATAAAAAGGCGGCCAAGACTAATAATTTACAAGTGGTATATTGATGCAATCCTACAGTCTTCAAGCTCTTAAGAAACGATATGACTGGAAATCAGCCACAGGAATCTGCTCTATACCGTTACGCGATCAGTGTTTTGATTCTGATCTTGTATATGTGGACACTATGATGCACTACTTGCAGCAATGTCTCAAGGAATATAAATATACGATTAATAAGAACTGGATAACACCATGCTATCAGCTTACGCAAGACGACAAGACATTCAAGTCCATCGGGATCAAGCAGCAATAATTAAACCAACAACACATTTACACACTATGAAATATCTTGAAAAGTTGGAGATCTTTAAAGCACACAAGAGAACAGGCTGCATTAACCATAGGGATGTGGTCGCATTAGCTACCGCATGGCTGTCCTTTTACGAAAATTAATGTTATTAAGAGACATTTTTATTTTAGTTTTATTTTATTTTTATTAAGTGATATTTTCAACTTAATTTATATTATTATGTGTTTGTTTATTTTATTGACCACAACTACATTTTCCGTTATTTATATTTTCATATTTACGTTCTAATTTGTTGTTCTGTTTTTATGTTAACTGAGGAAGATCGTTAAAAAACAGTTGAAAATGTTTTTATTTTATTAATATTTATTTGCTGGATTTTTAAAGGTGTTTTATTCTTAGTTTGTTATCCAGTACGTACATTAAATTTAAGTTGATAAATATCTTAAGAATTCAAAGAAACTGAAGATCTGTTTGGAACTTTCAGGAAGTAGGAAAGTTGCTTTCTTCTGGAGTGGTGACGATTTCTCTTGAGCAGTGACGGATTCTCAAGTGGTGACAGCTAAGATCAGTGATGGCAATGGCGAGCGGCTGGACACACACAGTTCAAGAAAAACTGGATGATGGCTTTTGACTCATTGATCCCTCCTTTTTACTAGGGGGCAGGTCCTGGGTTTTTCCCATGACCTTATTAGGAGTTTTTCTACAACTGTCCAATAGTTGATTTTTATTGTAGATTCCGGGTGACACATTAGGAAGCTGTGTCATCTTTGAAAGGAACTGAATCTGGAGAAAGATACGAACTCATCCTTCCAGGTTTTTATTAAGTGTTGGGGGGAAAAAAAATAGAATTTTTTCCATGAGTTTAAACATTATTTTGTTTAATTTTAAAGTGAGCATGAAAGTTTATAAAAGGGTTTATAAAAGTTTATCAAATTCGGGCACTCACAGTAATAATGTAATATGAATAAAGTTTTAATTTTAAGTAAGTTTACATTTGTGTGTTAAAATACTTAAAAGTTAGGTTTAGCTACATTTTTATTAAAAAAATTATAATTTTTTGTTTCACAGAACAATTAAAAAAATGTTCTCTCTTCATAATATGCTTCACACTTATTAAGAGCATTAAAACTATTTCATCTACATTGGCATAAATGCAGGTTCTAGCACATTTTCATGTAGGTCTCTCATCATTGGCTAATTTCAAAATTGATTTACAATTTGTTGTTATGGTTGATAAACTATATACAGGAATTCCAAACTTTGTTACAATGTTTCTATTTTTTTGAGCCCTTATCAATTTCCTGAAACACCATAAATTTTTTAGAAATGCTTAAACACTATGTGAACAGTTTTTCAAATTCCAACTGGATGACTTATTAAAAAAAATAAAATCTCACTAACCTCAAAATTAGTCCAGAAATCGTCAAAATTATCACCTTTCTAATGTTTTTGACATTTGTTAATTATAAATCGTTAATCTGTCAACAATGGCATTTGGATCTAATCTCTCTTCCTCTTTTTTACAGTCGGTAGCCATGTGGGGAGCAGATTACATGTTGGTTTTAAAAGCTAACGACCAATATTTCTCACTCCTGGGCCATGGTTTTATGAAAGATTTATGGATTGATATCTGAAATTGAATTTAAATTGGAACTCAACTCAGATGGAGTAATTGACTTTTAATGATTGATGGTCCTTATAACTTAAAAAAAATTCGTATATAGAAATTTAACTTTGTTATTTAGAAACAATTTCACATAAATTTTTTGTTGAAAGAGCAGTGTACAATGCAAAAATTCATGATATGGGAAAATTTGCTATATAGAAGTTTGGCATAAAAAACTGACTCAGAAACTGGAACTAAATATCGAAACTACTACTTCACACCTAAGTGCTAATTCCAGCACATGAACGATAAAAAACTTTAATGTTCTAACGTTTTCGGCCGTGTTTCAGAGGCCCTCGTCAGGAAAATATTACAACGAACAGAAAAACAGTTTTATCTAACAATTTTCGAACAAAGCTGTGTTCTAATTTTTTTAACATTTAAACGATTTTTGAATATCAAAATCGTTCCGTATTACAACGTATAAATAAAATAATTATAAATAAAAATACCAATAAATATATTAAAAATACATAAAAATAACAGGTGTTAATATACAAAAATAAATAATATATACGGTGGTGGTAATACATTCATTGTTAAACGATAGCCCGAAGTACAAACGATGTGCGATATGGAAAAATTGTTTCCTTAAAAAACTCAAATTTATGTTTTGTGGCTTTGTAAATAATATTTCCACGACTGTGGAACAGGGATATTGTCGGTGTTGATGCAATTTCCCTTCATTTCCGCTTTATAAATTTCAATCGCCTCCAACGAACGTAATTCGTGTCGGTCAAATGCCCTGTGTAAAAGCGTAGCTTCATTCCAACAAGGAGAAACCCCAGGTTCGGTAGCATACTGGGCTAGTGCGGTATTATATCCGAGGACAGGAAAGCGCCAGGAGTGTACCGCATTCCATTGCAAGACAGTCGCTTCAATAGATGTATAACGTACATCGGGTCCACGTATCGGTCTCTAGAGGCTAGGGTAAGAGACCACATGTATGATGTATCCAAGGGGAGATATAATACTGCTCTAGCCCAGTATGCTACCGAACCCGGGGTTTCTCCTTGTTGGAATGAAGCTACGCTTTTACACAGGGCATTTGACCGACACGAATTACGTTCGTTGGAGGCTATTGAAATTTATAAAGCGGAAATGAAGGGAAATTGCATCAACACCGACAATATCCCTGTTCCACAGTCGTGGAAATATTATTTACAAAGCCACAAAACATAAATTTGAGTTTTTTAAGGAAACAATTTTTCCATATCGCACATCGTTTGTACTTCGGGCTATCGTTTAACAATGAATGTATTACCACCACCGTATATATTATTTATTTTTGTATATTAACACCTGTTATTTTTATGTATTTTTAATATATTTATTGGTATTTTTATTTATAATTATTTTATTTATACGTTGTAATACGGAACGATTTTGATATTCAAAAATCGTTTAAATGTTAAAAAAAATTAGAACACAGCTTTGTTCGAAAATTGTTAGATAAAACTGTTTTTCTGTTCGTTGTAATATTTTCCTGACGAGGGCCTCTGAAACACGGCCGAAAACGTTAGAACATTAAAGTTTTTTATCGTTCATGTGCTGGAATTAGCACTTAGGTGTGAAGTAGTAGTTTCGATATAGAAGTTTGCAATATGGAAGTTTGACTGTGTGTATGTATATATATTGAAATTAAATTTTAATTTAAATCAAGATCATAAAATTTAATTGAACTAAACAAAATGTAATTTAAGTTTATAAAAGTCTGAAATTATTTATTGAAGTAGAATCTTAATTTCTTACCAAGCAGAGTAATAAGTGATTTTTCTCAGGTTTTGTTTTTTTAATTTAATAATATATAAGTTTAAATCAGTACAATATAAGTTTTGTGTTTGTTAATTTAATATAAGCTTTAGGTGCTTTATGCTCTTTATTATAATTTAAAGATACTAATTGTTTGACAAATGCTAAAAACTATAACAATATTGTAGGAGCACAGCATTTATCTACTACTGGCCTCAAGCTTCTTTCAGATTTATGTGTTTTAGCAAAACCTTTCTCTACGACAACTTTAGCTAAGCAACTAGGTATGATGAGAATAATAGTTTCATCCCCAGCCATGCCAAGGCTATTCGGATTTGCTAAAACACATAAATCTGAAAGAAGATTGAGGCCAGTAG